ACAGAGATGAAGCTGTGTGGTCTGAAAAGGCAGAGCGTCTGGGAGGGGAGGAGGCGAGTTGCTGCAGGAATCGTCGTCGTGTCAATATTTTATTTTCTTTTTTTCCAGTAGGTTTTTGCCTTGGCATTTTAAGTTTTGTCCGTGTTTTCTCAGGCACTGCCTGCTACCGACGTGCTCGGAGAGCTGTGAGGTGGGGGAGGCCCCAGGAGGAGGGCAGGAGCTGTCCTCCTGGCTTGGGGTGCAGTGTTCCCCTGCCCCTACTCAGGGGTGTGTAAATGGCAAATTCTCGTTTGTTTGTTCTTCCCGAGCTGGGAAGACCTCATGGTTATTCCAGTCCAGAGGCTGTTGCAGAAGGAGCTGAGCAGACCTGACTCCTGAATGCTCGGCTCGGAGACCTGTGCGGAACGTGGGGTGCTCTGGAGGCTGCTGCCAGTGGCAGTGGTGACCAGGCTGTGATCCGGCACAGCTGGGAGCTGAGATCCCAAATGGTGTCGTTGTCAAAACTGACGAGTACATGATGCGCTGGCTATTTCTCTCCCATATATGTTCTTAAATAGGTCATACACTCTTCTTGAGAAAAGCACATCTCTGTAAACCTGGTTATGCCTCTGCCTCACAGTGGCCACGGACTTCTCTCAGAACTTGCAGATGCCTTCTTGAGAAATTTCTCAAGACCTTCTCTAGCTGGGTTCCTAGAGCGGATGCTGTTGTCTGAAATGAGCGTTAGGTAAAGACTCTGCAAGTGTAGTGGCAGGGTATTATTTTCTCTCGAGTTTTTTTTTTTTCCTAGTACTACGTCTTGACTTGTCCTTTGCTTCTTCTTAAATGTTTGTCTTAGGAGCAGCCAGTTTGAATTTAGAGACTTTACAAACATTAAGTAAGCTTAATGTTCCATGAGGAGCATGTACTAATGAGATAGGAAAGCAAAGGGGCTATAGAGATAAAAAGTGCATTTTTTAGAGCAAGTGGTTACAATATGTTGGGAAGAAGCAAATGCTGGGGATATGCTCTAAATAACTAGCTGGGCACAAAGATCAGTTCAGGTGTGTCCTGGATGATGCACCAGGTTCCTCATACATGTTTTACAAGCATCATGGTTTTATTGCATGAGATATGGGGATGTTCTTGAGCCACAAGGTAATGATGGTCTTGCAGCGCAGGTGTGAGGAGATGTGCTGGTTTTCTCTTGTGCGAGTAACAAGAGAATAAAGACCCATGGGGCACAGAAGGTTGACTGACACAAATGAGAGTTAGGGGGATCAGCTTTCTACCTCTTTATCGCCATTTATTGTCCACCATCATCCCTTTTTGGAAAAACCTGGTCCCTTTCGCTGCTGGAAGAAGGACATGAAGCCAGGTATGCAGCCTGTTTTCAGAGCCCTGGACATGCCCTTTGTCCTGTGTGCTACTGCCTCTCTCCATGATGTTGGTCAATTAGTCTCAAAGAACATTTCGGGTGTCCCTCGGGACAGATGTGGGCAGTGAGTGTGGAGAACGAGACGGAAGAAGTGGACCTGTTGGATCAGTCACAGTGATTGCTTTTCCAGACTGACTCAAAAGCTGTGACGACAGTGTTGCAGAAGAGGCCAGGTTGTGCTGCTTCCCATCACCACCAAGCTGTGGAAAGCAGTCGTTCTGCTGAGTGTGTTTGTTGCCTCTTCATAGGTGTATGGTGGTTGCATAAATCCTGATTTTTTTCTTTTTTTGCTCTGTTCCTCACAAATAAGCTGTTCTTGGTCATTTTCTAGGTCTAACCCTATCATAAAGGAAGAGGACGTCTGTCAGGCCTGCTCTGGGATTGGGAGGGGTGCCTGTCTTTTTTAAAGCAGGAAATTCTCTAAGTGCAGGTTGTTACCCAGCAGGTAGTAAGCAGAGCGAAGGCTGTAATCTGCCTGAAGAGCCCCGTCACTTCGCTGTGCAGAGGCCTCTGTGGCTGATGGCTTCAGCCTGTATGGGTACTTGGGACAGAAGAAACTCTGTTTGGTTAGGGGACAGCCAACATTTTAAGAGCTTTCATTTTTTTTTTTTTTTCCCCTCAAGGAGAAATTTGGTGGATTTTGTGTTGTAGTTTTACCATAGTTGTGTGTGCCTGTCTGGATAGCTGGGGGGGGAGCCTGAATCCCAGTGAGGGGAGCCAGAGGGCCTGGCAGCGTCCCAGGTAGGTTCGTGTGGTGTGGTGGAGCTGGGCAGAAGGCAGCATCTGTGGTGCATCAGGCTCTCCTCGCAGTTGTCACTAGTGCTCTGAGCATCAGCCCAGCACCGGTTCACTGCAGTGCTCGAGTTGAACTGGTGCCTGGAGTGCTCTGAGAGATGAAAATGTCCCTTGCTGCCCCTCCCTGTTCTTTTGAAGTGGTTGTGCAATAGTGATTTACAGCTGAAAACCTGCCCCCCTTCATAGGGTCCTGCCAGTAGAACAAGGATCTCGCCAGCTTACATCGAATTACAGGTGTAGGGCTGGAGGGACTGCAGGAAGGGATCTGGTCTTTGCGATGAAAGAACACCTGCATCAGATATTTGTTCTTTTTCTCCAAAGGGGAAAAAAAAAAATGCTGGAGATTCTGCCTCATAGATAACCAGTTTTGGTATGTCACGACGTTGGCACTGTACAAATTTGTTTCTTCATATCCAGGCTGAATCTTGTTTACCATTTGAGTTGATGCTACAACGTGGAAGAAGAGTACTCTCCCCCTTTCTTATGACTTTTAATGTATGCAGACTGTTCTGTTCCCTTCAGTGTTATCTTTTCAAGACTAAACACACCCAGGTCCTTCAGTCATTTTTTCCAGGTTTTTGGTTCTTTTTTTTTTTTTTTCTTTCCACTGCAATGTCTTTGATTTTTGCATCTGTTTTATAAAGAAGAGTATGTGAGGCTGGGTGCGGTCTGTTGGCTAAAGTCTCATGTGTGTGGAGTGTAATGGAATCACTGCTTCTGTATCGCACCTACAGTGTAACTACTAATAGGTCCCAGGATGTCATTTGCCTACTTTGTAGCAACGTAAGCCTGTTGGCTTGGAATTAATTTCTGAATCAATGTAATGCATGTATGCATTTTTTTTTGGGTGGCACATCAAAGTTGCTGCTTCATCATGTCCAACCCCCCCTTAGTTTACTGTTTTGTACTGATCTTTACTGAGATTGGTTTGATAATATTCTACAGGTAGGTCTAGTGTTCTTGTGTGCAGATGAAAATACTGCAATAAGATGCCACAAAATCCAGAACTGGTTTGAACTTACTATGTTGAGGGATTTTTTTTCTTGTCAAAAAAAAAAAAAAAAAA